CATTAATAATGAAAAATAAATAATTATAATTTTATATAAAATTTATGTGTCGAGCCATCTATCTCTAATTAATAACATCATTTCAACTCATGAAGTGTATGGAAGACAACTGAAATTCAATGTATAATTAGTTAAGAATATTTTTATTTAATTCATATATGCTCATTCTCTTGGCCGGCGATCTTTCTATTCCTATATGCTTAGATGAATTGTTGAACAGATTCAAATATGGGATCGGGTTCTGTTTTGCTTGGTAGGTATACATTTCCCTCGCTGTCACCTTTCCCTCCCCGTCATTCTCGTTTAGGGAAACTACCATTTCAAGTGCTAGAAATACATAACAAAAAAGTGTTTCACAATCCAATTGTAAAACACAAATCATTTGATGGGAGCTTGAGTTCGCTAATATTGTGAGCCCTCCTTCCATTATATGGTTTTTGTTTGATGGTTCAAATTAGTATTAGACTATAAAACAAAATTTTAAATACGTAAAATGTACAAATTCATGAAACTTCCCTGGAAACAACACAAGATTCACTAGGGGGACATTTTTTGGACTGCTGTTGGACTCTTCTTCCATATACAAATTATAGTAGTTAAACAAAAATGAGACTTAGCTCACCACTATGTGGCCCAATGGCCACACTTCTTATGTGAGAAGCAAAGTGGGGGCACCTTGCTCTCCAAGTCGAGCCCAGTGCTCGACGTTCCTCTTTCTCTTTTGAACAGATACTAATATTATTAATGTAATTTTGATTGTCAAAAAAAAAAAAAAAAAAAAAAAAAAAGAAGGAGACTTAGGACATGTTTAGTTTCTATATGTAATTATTTATTAAAAATGAAATGTTGGATACTACGACTTTTAGCATTAGTTATGAAAATATCAAAGATTTGAAACTTTCTTTTTATTATTAGTATAATAATATTTAATTTTCAAGATTTTCAAATTATCAACAATCTCTCCTCTAAATTCAAATCACTAATTTAAAGAGGGTGTGGTTATTGTCACATCAATATATCATTTTCAATATATCGCTTTTTTCTTAAACAGTTAGATATGGTATTTGAATTTATTGACTAATTTTAGTCAATTAATTGATAAATATCAATTGTTATTTTAGTTATTAGTTAATAACTCTTATCAACTATTTTTAACAAGGTTTATCTATTCTGTACTTTGAATTTATATTAAAAAATAAAAATTAATTTTTAATTTAT